CAACTTCCGACCTCTACATGTCACATCTTGTTTCTTAAAAACATTTTCTTCCGTGTTGCTCTTTTTCTACAGCCCCTTGCTTAGCATTTGCAAATTTCACTCAAAGACCCTTTCAAGAAGAGAGGGAGATGGGTGGGAAAGGTGTATGAAAGGAAGTGGTGGTGGTGGGAAAACGGCAGTAGCTTCTTTCTTTACTGCAGAGATCAAAGCAATGCAGCCATTTCAAAGCAAGCCTGCTTGTGAGTAGTTATTTTCTATTGCTATTTCGTTCCTACAGACTTAAAACTTTACAAAAAAAGGTTATGATTATTCCAAATGGTTGTTGTTGTTCATTCGTTCAGTCGTTTCCGACTCTTCGTGACTTTATGGACCAGCCAGAGCTCCCTGTTGGTTGTCACCAAATGGTAGTAAATGGTAGTGAATGCCAATGAAAGGGTCTTTGAGTGAAATTTCCAAATGCTAAGCAAGGGGCTTTGAATGAAATTAACAGCAAAAGAGAAATATACCCTTTCTCTGTAGAAAAAGAGCAACACGGAAGAAAATGTTTTTAAGAAACAAGATGTGACATGTAGAGGTCATACAAAGTTCAAGCCTACATCGGAAGTAATTGTGTTGTGGTTAAGCCAAAGGTTGTGGTTAAGCGCAGAGTCTGCAGGTACAAGAAGGTACTTTCCATCAAAACGTCAAGGGAGAGGGGCTAGAAAGAGAATACTTTCCATGACCAAAAAATGTTCTTGTTTACTTGAGGGTATATAACGGTGTACAAAAGCCAAGGGGGAGAGGGGGCGGCAGTCACTTGAAGGGTAGTATCTGCGTATGCTGCCAGGCTGTCCGTCTTCTTCATGAAGAAACTAAAATAAACCTTGTTTTTTTATCTTTTTTTGGGACTGTCTCCTTCCTTATGTGTTCCTGTGATGAATGAATGCAGTTTAGCACCAGTTTAACAGCCCTGGCTCAATGCTATGGAAACTTGAGAGCTGGAGTTCAATTTGGCAGAGGTGTCTGAAGACCTTAAAAAACTACAACTCAGCATTGAATCATGGTGGTTCTAGAGGTATCAAACTGCATTAGTTCTACTGTGTAGATGCATCGTTCTCAGGTAACAGGAAGATAATTCACCGTATCTGGTGATCTATTGGCTGTGTTTTCTCTTTATTGGGTCTCTTTGTGGGAATGTTTCTCTTCCGTCTCCTTGATGCTCCAAAGTTTGTCTTCTTTGCTGATGTTGACATTGTCCGGTGTTTACTTTGGTTTGTTTTTGGGGATGTTTTGTGCTTTCAGTGAAGTTGCAAAACCGTTCAGGACTTTGCCCCTCACTTTGCAACAAAACTTATCCAAACTGTGCTTTTTCAATAGAACGGTCAAATCACAGAGTTGGGAGGGATCCCAAGAGGCCATCTAGACCCACCCCGGCCCCAGGCCAAGGTGGGCAGGACGTGCCCTGAAGATCTCTTTCCCATGGTTTAGCCCACTGCCATTCCATCAGAATGTAAATCCCACTCCATTTATTTATTCCCTCCTCCTCCTCCTCCCCTTTCTGTTTTCTTTTCTGTCTTCCTTTCTGTCTTTCTATCTTTCTGTCTGTCTATGGGTCATGGCCTCTTCTGCACAGCCATATAAAGTCCAGATCTGCTTTGAACTGGATTATATGATTCTACTTCATTGCCATATGATCCAGTTCAAAGTGGATAATCTGGATTTTATATGGCAGTGCAAAAGGGGTCTTCCTTCCTTCCTTCCTTTCTTGCCTTCTCTCTCTCTCTTTCTTTCTGTCTTCCTTCCTTTCCATCTTCTTTCATGTTTCCTTCTTTTCTTTTCTTTTCTTTTCTTTTCTTTTGTTTTCTTTCTTTCCAACTTCCTTCTTGTCTTCTTTCTTTCTTTCCTTCTTCCCGTCTTCCTTCCTGTCTTCCTTCTTTTCTTTCTTTCTTTCTTTCTTTCTTTC